CTGCCTCTCTCTCTCTCTCTCTCTCTCTGACTCTCATGAATAAATAAATAAAACACTAAAAAAAATGCCATTGGAATCTTGATAGGGGTTTCATTGAATCTATAGATGGCTTTGTGTGATACAAACACTTAAAAAATATTAATTCTTCCAATTTGTGAATAAGGGGTATCTTTCCATTTATTTGTTTCTTCTTCAATTTCTTTCATTAATGCTTTGTAGTTTCTAGTGTACAGATTTTTCACCTCCTTGGTTAAATTTATTGCTAGGTATTTTATTGTTTTTGATGCTATTATAAATGAGATCATTTTCTGTTTTTTTTTCAGACAGTTTATAGTTTATTGTTAGTGTGTAGAAACACAACTAATTTTGTGCAACTTTACTGAATTCATTTATTAGTCTAACAGTTTTTTGGTAGAGTCTAGGCTTTTCTCTATATAAGATCATGTCATCTGCAAATAGAGACAGTTTTACTACTTCTTTTCATATTTGGATGCCTTTTATTTCTTTTTCTTGCCTGAATACTTTGACTAGGATTTCCAGGACTGTGTTGAACAGGAGTTGGTAATACCGAGTAGGCACCCTTGTCTGATTCCTGATCTTGGAGGAGAAGCTTTCAGTCTTTCACTATTGAGTATGATGTTAGCTATGGACTCGTCATATGTGGACTTTATTATGTTAAAGTATGCCCCAGATCAAGTAAATCAGAATTAGTTTAGGGTGGGATCAGCTACCGGCTCAGTTCAGCAGATGGGCAGAGTAGCTGGCTGGGATCTCTGCTTGGGCACAGCTGCAAGCAAGAACAGTCCTCCAGATCTGAGCACTGGTTGCCGAAAGCCCTGCTCCCCTGCTCCTGCGTGATCCCCAGTGGTTGAGCCGACCCCTTCCTCCCACCATGGTCGTCAAGAGGTGAGAACCAAATGAGCCTCCTGGGAAGTGTCCTGCCATGCTGGGGGAGCTGGTTGTCCACCTTGGAGTCTCTTTTCCCACTGGAAAAACTGTCACCCCAGGGGAGCTCTGTTAGTGCAGAGCTGGGCTGGTGTGGGGGAGGAGTGATGCACTCAGAGTGCTCCTTCTTATTTCTAATGTGGTTCTTCTCAGTCTGTATGGTCCAAGGTGTGCTTTATCCTCACCCCTGGATTCTGGGATTCTTCACAGTGATGTCTTGTCTATAGATAGTTGCTAGCTGGTCTTGTGAGGAAGACTGAAGTCAGGAATGATCTATGTTGCCATCTTGATGACCTTACTCCTAGACAGGCTTCTGACATCAGAGAAGGTTCATTCAGATAATAGAGAGGTGCATTGACTGACAAGAACTTAAAAAGTAAATATTTTGTGTTAGTTAATTGAAAGAAGAGCCATATGCTTTTTATAAAACATGCGGGACTTAGAGTGGACAAGGTAGGAGCCTGGTCTGAGAGCCTGTTTATTCTGTACTTAGGTCAGCTACTGATGAATGATGCAATTTGGGGAAGTATGACTCTTCAAAGGACATTTTATTTTCTCTAGTTAAATAGCAGAGGCTAGAAAGTGAGGCCTACCATTGAAGTGACAGAGTAATTGGATCTCACTGGTCAGATGAGTTGAGGCAGAGTAAGAAGTCCTGAGTCAGTTGGTTGCAACCCTGGCTACTCAGATGATCTGGGAAGCTTTTAAAAAGTATGTGTATGTGTGTGCATTTGTGAGTGCATGTATACATACATATATTTGTATATAGGTATGTATATTTATGCTGACCCCACTCCAAAATAATTCTGATTTAATTGGTCTGGGGTGAGGCCCAGACATTGATATTTTCAAAAAGCTCTGCAGGTGATTCTAATGTATGTACAGCTAGGACTCAGAGCCACTTTCTTGCACTCTCTGAAAAAACTCTCATGTAATTGTCTCCCTGTTGATTTCTCACACAAAAGGAAAATTCTCCGGCAATTGCATCGTGCCACTCTAACTTGAACTTTATAACATGCAGAAACTGTCAAAATATAAACATTTGCTTTATTTAAAACTACTTTTAAGAATAGCAAAGGCATGTTGCTCGATTAGTTATTTCTTATACTCTTTTCATGCCATTATTTTTCTGCATCTCATTACCACTTTAGAAATATCAAATGAAATCCGTACTATAGTAAAAACACTCGATTTTCAATTAAGAGTGTTTATTTGAAAAGGCTAATATAAGTCAACTGCTTGTTCTCCTTCTGGTGAATGTGAACCTTGGTTCTTGTATTCATTGTCACATATGAATTTTCCTTTTTTGTAAAGGAAAAGTTGGCAATTGCCAATTATGATATTTGGAAGAGACCCCCTTTCCCACTTACTAAAGCAACCACTATTTGAATCTTTTAGTATACCAGAATTCTTTTGGGTGTAATCTTTATAAGACTTTGTCAACATTGTCCTTTATTTTAGAAATGTGCAGATGAAGGGGTGTCTGGGTGGCTCAGTTAGTTAAGCGTCCAGCTCTTGATTTCAGCTCAGGTCATGATCTCAGGGTCGTGCGATTGATCCCTGTGTCGGGCTCCGCACTCAGCAGGGAGTCTGCTTGTCCCTCTCCCTCTTTGCCTCCTCCTTGCTCTCTCTCTCTTTCTCAAATAAATAAATAAATCTTAAAAAAAAAAAAAGATACACGCAGATAAGAAATACACTCTTAAGAGGCAACATTGTTATACAGAGCAAATTTCTATCAGTACTCCTTCCTATATGTACATTGAGGAAAGAGAGCATTTGGATGAACTGGGAGGTTATTTAAAAGCTAGCTTCATTTGTGACACATATTTCCATGAAATATCCAAAACCCTTGGGGAAAGAATCATATTGTCAGTGTGTAATCATAATAGAGAATATAGTTGAAGTCTACTCCTGGTGATGGTGATGAAGGGAATTGTACTGGAACAATATTTGGGGTATATTCAAAATCAGCCAAATAATCACTCCCACATGTGTTATCCCAGCCGTGTAATGCTGCATGTCATGACATGGTTTTAAATATAAACATGATACTCCAGAGTGTCCCCTAATATTATTTGCTTCGCTCAGATTTCACCTGCCATGCAAAGGAGTTCAGGCTGATGCAATTTTCTAGTAATCCACAGTACTCAGAAGGTTTAACATAGTATTCTGTGATGACTTAGTAGAAATTGAGAGATCAGCTCTGAGTAAACATTTTGATGTTTTCCTTGATGTGTTCTTGAAGTTCCAGGATGAATGGACTAAAAATAAACATTGTTACAAAACACAATATGCTTTGTGCAGGAACTCTCCCTGGGCTCTCTGTTGAAGTTGAGTCTGTACTTCTCTGCTGGTTTATTGCCTTACGTCTACCTTCCTGTCTCATCCTACCTCAATCAAGCCCGTTGGACCTGGGGAGACCAGACAACGTTGCTAGGATTTTTGACGCATTTGCTCAGGGCAGAATATGGAACATTCAGTCTGGTAAATTTATATTTAAAGCCCTTTTAAGGAAGGAAGCGGTGAAACTTCAGTGTTCTGCCTGGGCCTTGACTGAAAAAAAACAATGTCTATCAATGACAGTACATAGAATTTTCATTTTCGTTATCTGTGTAACAGACTTCCTCCTTATAAACGTGGAATCACTTAACCTGACATCATAATGTTGGATATCCTAAGTATGTTTTTCAGGATAACAAACATTAAAAAGACTCTGTTGCCAGCATTTAAAACATTTCATTCTTCTTAGTATTGGGTATCACTTTGGTCCCTTGGTCTGTGCTTTTAAATATTTGGAAAAGATTGAAGAATCAGAAAAAAAAAAAAAAAACCCTCAAAATTTTTAATTTACCTTGACCAAAACACTTTCTTTTTTCATATTTGACAAATAGTGTTCATGATAGTATTTAGTATAATACATATGTGTAAATACTTTATAAGATATAATTTCACTAGAAGTGTTTTTTTTAAGTTCAAAAGGCCTTGTTTTCCCTGAAACGTAAATTAGGGAAAAAACACTGAATGTGGTTAGAGTAAAGGTTATCTGAAAAATAAAAGGACAAACTTTTTTTTTTTTTACCTTAATAAAGACAGTTGTATCAGATTTTTCTCTCATGGTTTGTGCTTTTTGTGTCTTATGCAAGAAGGCAAATCTCTGAAGACTATGTATTATATGACACCATTGATACAAAATTCTAAACCACGCAAAAAGTAAACAATCTATTGCTCAAGGTACATACAAAAGAAGTAGAACTATATATTTTTAGAAAGTAGGGGAGTAATTAACACAGAATTCAAGGTAATAGTTATCACTAGGGGGTGAGAAAAGGGAGGTCTGTGAACGCTTTGTGAGATACTTTATGGTATTCATGCAGTTCTGTTCTTAAGTGAGTGGCGGCTCTGTAGATTTTTAAAAACTCTTTTGGCGGCTCTGTAGATTTTTAAAAACTCTTTATCCCTTAAATATACATTATATGTGTTGTTTGTAGGAGATATTTCATAATAAACTAGCTTAATGAAAGGATAATTATTAATTACTTTTTGAATTAAATAGTTTGATACTTTCAGTTTATACTCTGGCTTATATTGGTTATTCCATTACAATATTGCTTGAGGGCCACTCCAGATTTGAAATTTGTATAATTCACACATAATTGTGAAATTATAGACTAACATGTGATAATGAGCTCTAATCAAAGTGCCTTAAAGACGGTCTACGACAAAAGTGTAAAGTCTGTTAATTCATCAGTGTGTTAATTGTTCCTGCCAGAACTAGTTTAACTGATTTTTTAGCCCATCATTATTTCTGCAGTTCTTCCTCCGGGATGTCTGTGTTTAATTTCCACTGACTTCACTTCAAAAACTCAGTAAGGCTCTGAAGCAAAGACTGAATGAGGAGAGATGTTGCATTGTCTACTTAAAACATGTATATTCTCAGGATAGTTAAAATGCAATAGCCTAACACAGCTGCAGTTGAAGGCTTACGCAAATAAACTTCTCTCTTTTATGTTTAGGCCAAATCTGAAACAGGATCCAGTATGTCTAAAATTTTGCTGTGAGTATGAAATATTTGAAACTGGTTTTAAGTGAATTCGCTATTAGTTCCTAGACTAAGTGATTTGGGGGCTTCTGGGATTGTTTCTTTGTGAAGCAGTGTGTCTGAGAAGTGGCTCTCACGGGTATGGTCACTAGTTGTTTGTGTGGACTGTCAAACATTCTAGCATTCCTCCAGGAAGAGAAAGCTGAGAGTGAGGGATAAATACAACAGTGAGTTAGTAGACTGTCAAACTAGAAAGTTTCCACTTCCATTTGGATACAAAATGACCCAATGCAGTGTTGCTTTATACATCATTTATCCTTTGTTCTGGTTTCGACTCTTTTTTCTAGAGACATTTTAGAACATTGCATTTAGCAATTCGGTTCTTTTCTTTTTAGGATTGAGCTCTGTTCTTAAATTCTTTAGAGCTTCATTTATTTAATGTCTCTTAAGACTTTTTCTTTAGGCTGTTCTTAAGCTCTATTTTTGACTTAAATATTTCTAATATCCAACCTTTTTAGAGCCGGTTAAGCAAATATATTTCATCTGTATTACCTACTAGGGTTCTTTGAAAAATGGGTTAATATTTGCTTTAAAACCCACACAGATTAAGACAACTTGAAAAATATCCATACCAATCCTGTACTATTTTTATAATATTTTCAATATAAAATTATGGAAGAATAGTCTTCTACAACACTAAAGTGATCTCCTAACTGATTATTAATTTAGGATTCCCAGGACTATTTGAAAACCATTTTTAAAATATGGGGAGAATATTTCAACTCTGTACATGAGGCAGTTCATAGGTTCTCACAGTTTCTGTCTTGTTAATTTGCTAGCTTGCTTGCTTCCTTCCATCCTTCCTCCTTTTCTTTTTAAATGTCCCTTTCCCCTGCTCCCTATATGTGATACATAATCATTATAGAAAGTTTAGAAAATCCAGGTAAGCAAAAATAAGAAAATTAAAATTACTATAATTCCAATGTGTAGAGATAACCACTCTTGTTAATCCATTAACATTTCTGTCTGTATCTTTCAATGTTTTTTATATTTTTGTTTTGAAAAATGGGATCATAATATGCAGACTTTTTTATTAGCCCGCTGGTTTTCATTTTTTACTGTATCTTGAAAATATTTTCCTGCCACCAATTATTATGTAACCTTTTGTTGGTTCTCACAACTGATTTTAAATGTTTGTTTGTTTTTTTTTAATGTCTGACTGAAACTTTTGTGGCTCCTTTTTCTTTTTGGTTGGGGAAAATTATCAAGAAGCTCAGTTACAAAGACAGCTTTACCAATGTCTGTGGGCTTTTATTTTATTCTGCTCTGCTCCAGGCCAGAAGACTCACTGCCTGTTCTTTTCAACCTACCTTATAGGGTTGTGATCACATTTGACATTGGCCGTATATTTTGCCTTAACTAATCTCACATGAACTCCAAAGAACTCTCAAGAGTTCTCAATTATAAGTTGCACATAAAACTCATCTATTGGGGAACATAAAAGCCTCCTTTATATTGAAGTAATAGCAGTTAGGTGATATGCCTAGAAGAAAGACTTGACAAAAGTGATGACCACTCACACTCACACTATTTGTTCGAACCAAATCATAACGTAGAATGGAGGCATAATCCTAGCACTCTCTGACTGAGTGAGAGAATTTCTAGTCTTTAATTGTTTCAGGAGGACAGGAGTGTTGAGAAAAGCAACTTGTAATTAACTTACTAGAAAATCCTTCAAAATGATGGGACCTAATCATCTCTCCTTTTCCAGTCAAGCAAATTAAATTCTTTTCCCATACATATCTCTAAATTGCAATCCTGTACAAGGAAATTATTGAATCTAACCCTAGGCAGTGACCATGTTTTAGAGCTTACATTTAAGCAACGGATCTCCAAGAATTAATTTTGAAACTGACTTCATTCCTTTTGAAGAATGGTTTGAAATGGACCTCATGCTGGAATCAATTTTTCAAGTGTATTTGAAAATGAGTAAGAATATCTTCTCATAGTAGATGAGTCTCCATTAGTAAAATACACATTGTGTGGTTTCCATAATTATGGCATCACATTTTCTCCAGTAAAATTGCCAGCAGGGAGAAGAAAGTTCTTCGAGAGGGTGTATAGAGTCATTTCTTTTTTAAAAAATTGGAGACTGCTAGAGCTATTTCAGAACTCAGATAACACTTGGGAAATGCTTATTAGTTAATGGAAGAATTTAGTTTAATTATAGGAAAAAAATACATTTCTCAGAGATGGCTTAAACATTTTTGAACCAAATAATATAGAAAACAAGGAAGCCCTTTTTTTGAGAGAGAGAGAGAGAGAGAGCACATGCCCACTCGCACACTGGGGAAGACGGGCAGAGGGAGAGGGAGAGAGAGAATCCCAAGAAGGCTCGATCCCACAACCCCGAGATCATGACCTAAGCCGAAATCAAGAGATGAATGCTCAACCAGCTAAGCCACCCAAGCGCCCTGCATTAATTTTGTTTTCAATTGCTAAATCACAGGAGGCCGTGTCTACAGTACTGACAGAAGTTCAAAAACTCATTTCACATGACTTCTTACCAAACCAATCGGGGGATCCAAAATGTTATCAATACAGCCTACCAGCATTACAAATACAGAAGAATTACTTGCTCTGATCCTATCCCAAATAATATAAATTGGTAACCAAATATTACAATTGGAAAACATCTTAGAACCGTTTAACTCTTTCTTATGGTACTTTTTCTCCCAAATTTAAAAGAAGACAAAATAATTTTAACATCTGCCTCCAGCCCTTAAAACTACTCAGTGCATAATCAGATGTATTTTACAAAGAATGTTGTATTTGGATCTAACCAAGTTTGTTTTCTACCCATGATAAGTTAGATTGTCTTTTACAGTTCTCAAGTAACAAGTATGAGGACCCAACTCTCACTCAACATTCAAGCCCTTGCAGTTTGGGCAAATATATGTTTAGCAAGAAAGTGAGTAATATAATTTCTTTTCCTATTCTTTTTCCCATATTCGTTAATTTGATTCATATTTTTAATATGCCATTGAAGAACATTGCCAGTATTATTTTATATTCCAAATTAATGACTCTAATCACTTCTGTTACAGCAAATGTGTATTGCTTTCTTCCTAGGTTTTTTTTTTCCTGATAATAAATTAATGATTTTGGAAGATTGAGCAGTATATTACAATCTAAGTAAGCAAGTCATTTGATGTCTTAAACTTCTGGTTTGATCCCTAACTGTGCCCACAGCTACTCATTATTATTGCATTGCAAAAGAAGTAAACAACTATTTGAATTCCTCGGAAGAAGAAAGTTACCTCTGATGATAAAAGAAAACCTAGAAAATATAGCACTCTTAACCTCCATTAATTATTTTTTATCCATTTACCCTCTAACCTGAGTGTTTTATGTAAATTTATATATGTACACACATTTATAGTTCTGTTTCCTTGACACTTTATATTACGAGCATTCACTCTTATCATAAAAAGACTGAAGGTCATTTAAATGTCTGTATAAAATTCCATTCTCTGACCTAGGAGAATTAACTGAAGTGTTTTTCTGTTTGGGAATCTTCAGATTGCTTCCACTTCTATTATAAATAATATTAAAGCATTTTTATGGATTAATCTTTATCCACATTTCTGGTTTTGCTTAAAGATTTATGCCTACATGTCAAATTACTGGGTCAATGAGTGTGATTTTTTTTTTTTAAGATTTTTATTTATTTATTTGAGAGAGAAAGAGCACAAGCAGGGGGAGGGGGGAGGAGTAGAGGGAGAGCGAGAAGCAGACTCCCACTGAACAGGGAGCCCGATGCGGGGCTCTATCCCAGGACCCCGGGATCATGACCTGAACCGAAGGCAGTTGCTTAACCGACTGAGCCACTCAGGCACCCCGAGTGTGATTATTTTTAAGGCTCTTGATATATATTATCAAATTAATTTTTCTTGAGTATTATACCCACATATGTGCTCATTATGTTGCATCCTCACCAATATTGAAATTGCTGTTTTAAAATCTTTATTATTTTGAGGCATGAAAGTATTCTTTTGTTTTGCATATGTTTAATTACATCTTAAATTTAACAAGATTGATCATTTGTATTTCTTCTCTGAATTTTAACTTTCTATCTCTTGCTGCATAGTTCCAAGTGAAGTTGTCTGTAATATGGTACAGTGTATAGTTGATTCCTATATTTCAGTTATTTATTCCAGCTCAGATTTTTTTAAATGGAAATCTTTCTTTGTCCCTAGTTAAAAATGGAAAGTTCTGGCGCGCCTGGGTGGCTCAGTCGTTAAGCGTCTGCCTTCGGCTCAGGTCGTGATCTCAGGGTCCCGGGATCCAGCCCCGCATCGGGCTCCCTGCTCCACGGGGATCCTGCTTCTCCCTCTCTCACTCCCCCTGCTTGTGTTCCCTCTCTCACTGGGTCTTTCTCTGTCGAATAAATAAATAAAATCATTAAAAAAAAAAAAGTTTTATAGATCTAATTATTTTCCTATGTAATATTATTATTGATATTCATGCACATAAATAATTTTGGACATATTTAATTTTTTTATAGGGACAGACAGAATCCATCATTGGTATGGCTTTTTACTGGAATGTTTTGCATTTATTCATTGTTCTTTGCTTGGAGGGCGAATTTAGATATTTCAAAACCACTTTTCATGGGTGTGGTAAGTTTTACTTAGATTTATCCTTTGACCAGAAAGTTGGTGAAGAGTGTACAAATTTGTCCTCATGAATCTTGTAGAAGAGCAACTGATCACAGAAATAACTAACATTGTGTATACATTTTTACAGATCGGAAGTTAAATTCTTGAACCAGTAAGACCGAGGCCTTTTTTTAGGGGGAAAAAACGCAACATTTAGTTAACACAATAGTTAGGGAGAAAAATACACGTCAGGTAGTTTTAAGTTAGTTATTTCATGTGTGTGCTTACAGATATAAGTACTCCTGCAGATCTCCTGGAATTTTTTAAAACAACCATAAAGAAATAAAGGTGGTAGCTGGGCCTCTTACCCACACACTCCCCTGGTTTTGACCTCAGCAGTCTCAGGCCTGTGCAAGAATGACCACGTTTCTGTGTTCCCCTGGCTGCCACTTCTGAGATGAGAGTATTTCTTCTCTTTGTAGTAGAAGCTATAAATGTAGACAGCTCCTTTTCAATGGCTAAAGCCAGCTCTTTTCTATGTGTATGTTCAAGAGGCCTAGTAAATAATAACACCCTCCTTGATCATCTGAGTTCTGAGTCAGTTGAGAAACGAGATAAACCAGGACAACTACAACAGGTGAATCCCCTTTATACTGAGAACGCTGAGAATGGAGAAGGTAGTTTTTATCTGTGGGCAAGGGGGCTTCCTCGTGCTGCATCCCGGAATGGACGGACTTACCCCCCACCCGCACCCCTGGTCACAGGCAGGGCTGCACACAGGGCCCCTCCCCACCGCACCCCTGGCCACAGGGACGGGGTGGGCCGCTGGACGTGTGTGTCCTGTGGGCGGATCACTTCCCAGAGGAAGAGAGGGGGAAAGGGCCCGGCCATGCAGGCCCACTCCCAGCTCGCAGACTCCCCTTCCGCTCAGTGCCTGCAGTCTTACCGGAAGAAGTGAGGGCTGTTATACCAGGGGAGCCTCCCCACATGGGAGGAGACCTCAGGAGTAAAGTAAAACCATCTCTCCATCTCCTCCTCCTCTCAAGTGGCAGGAGTTCAAGGTGCACGCCATAGCATTGAAAAGAATGTGTGGATCCAAAAAAGGGAGGTTCGTGTGTCAAACTGGAAAGGAGAAGTATTTGAAAATTGAAAAATAAAGTGACATGGAGTTGGATTAGGGAAGTCCGGAAACGAGACCTGAGTGATCGCGGGCCTGAGCGGCTAGGGGTACACGATGTATTTGTTAAATAGACAAGTACCCGATTGACTGCCTCAGCCTGTCAGCTGGATGTCCTGTCTGCACGTCTCTGTCACAGGTGGAGAGATTCTGGATGCAGAGCAACGCGGTGGTGGCCGTCCTCGCTGGCCTCGGTTTGGCAACGCTGGCTTCTGAGAGTAACCGAGTGCTGAACACCAGTGGGCTTCAGTGTCTGGAATGGCTTTCAGCAACTCTTTTTATAATTTACCAAATATATTCTAATTTCAGGTAACACATGCTTATTTTTATGAAAAGTAGCACTCAAGCAAGAAACACTTAGATATTTAGAGTCTTGGGCTTTATTTCACCTTTAACCTCCCCTGGTTTTCAGAGTGAGACAGCTGAGTCTGAATGCAGCGCTGCTTAAACTTTTGAACAGAATCTCAGCATGAGCGATGTGTGGTTTCAGGGCATTGCAAACAAGGGCTTGGGTGGGACACATAAACTATTTGTATATTTTCCTCTAAGGAACCCTAGAGATACTTGGTAGGATCTGGAGGATGTAATAAAAGTCCATGATCTAAAATACCACTTAGATGGAGAGTAAAGACATTTGGGCCTTTTTGTATGTCCTAAAATAATTCTCCTTTATGCTTTGAGGATTTCATCTTTTGAGTGACACCTGGCCCTTATCTAGTTCCCTCCATAGCAGTGAATATTAATTATTTTGAAATAATTAAAGTTCTAAAGGTTTCTTAACGCTTATGCATTATGAGTATTATATATATTTTTCAAAATCTGTTGAATAACCTTGCCAATGAAAATCTCAGTCTGGCATAAAACATGTCCAAGTTTTAGATGATAGTTCATTCATTTCCTGCAGTATTGAGTAAACATTACAGCAGCGGAAGAGTCCCCTGGAGTTTCACTGTAGTGAGATTTTATTGGTATTTTAAAAGGTTCAATACCCCCCATTTTTTTTAAGATTTTTTAATTTATTTGAGGGAGAAAGAGAGCACAAGCGGGAGGAGGGGCAGAGGGAGAGAGAGAATTCCAAGCAGACTGTGCACTCAGCAGGGAACGCGATGCAGGGACTCAGTCGCAGGACCCTGAGATCATGACCTGAGCAGACACCAAGATTCGGATACGTAACCTACTGAGCCACCCAGGCGCTTGAATTTCCCCTTTCAAGTTAACTTTAAAAACTGATGTGCTTTATTTATTTATTTATTTATTTTAAAGATTTTATTTATTTATTTGA